TATTCTCACATTCACGGTCAAACGGTTTGTCAGAGTGTCCATTACACATTTAGTGTCTAAATGTGTAACAATCGGCTATCCAGACACATCGTTTTCAGCACATGTGTTTACCTGCTCTTACTCGCGTAACATTCCACAACAGCGCCTCCCTATGCTACCTCTTGTTGTCCATTCTTGTGTTATCTGCTGGCTTCGAAGCTGGGTAGCAGATTTAGGGTTGATTTATAGATATCATGTCAGTGTTCACACTTGGATACGTACCTCGTGTCACATCCACATCTCCACGTGATGACTTTTCACTTGCCAGCCACACATATCCGCCTACTAATATTTGTGTCATGTGTTCTTCCTTTATGTTGACAACAAATGACTTTTTCAAACTCCATGTCTACTCCTGTCTCCACCCGACTGTTTTATGTTTTTCTCCCTTGGATCTAATCCTTCGTGTGTATGTACCATCAGGTACCTAAGAAACAACAGTTTGACTGGGTCTATTCCCTCCACTCTTGGCAACCTCAGCAACCTTAGATACCTGTCAGTATCAAGAAAAATCAATTAGGGTTCTTCCTTTGGTTTGGATGGCTCGTACGCATTCCTTCAACTAAACTTCAGCTGGTTTTTTTGTTTGAAGTATGGAAACGCACGCAAAGCATGAGCAAGGAGAGCAGGGGCCAGCCTGCTATGGCGATCGAGGCCCATCAGCAGTAAAGGGTTGATAGAAAACCAAGTCTATGGGGGTTCCATCACAGGGGCTTCCCAGAAACCGTGTGAACTTGGGAACTACCCACCTAATCTGCTACGGGTAGGTATTAACATAGCATAATCTCAACCTTTATCTGAAATGGCAGGGTCAACATTTGCCGACCCACCAAATCAACGGGGTTGTTGGCGTGGGATTGCCTAAACTTGGGTGGGGCTTAAGCGACCCATTTAACAAAACTCGGGTCGACTCGGCCCGGCCGGGTTTGCAGGATCAGCCATTATGCCCAATCAGGTATACCCGACCCGATCGGTCGTATGCCCATGCGTAGTTTCATGGAACCCTTTGCATGTGCTTAGTAGCAATGATTTGACCGTATGATCCGTATCCTTTAATAGTGGTTTTTTTTGTTGTATCCAGTATTTCTTTCCACCCATACCACCCTTTTCATGTTGTATAATCAGGGACCTCCGGTACAACGCTCTGACTGGGTCTATCCCATCCACCCTCGGCACATTGAACAAACTCGAGTTCTTGTGAGTAACATCAAGGGAACAAGAAAGAGAGTCAACATGACCTTGCACAGGTTCATACATAAGTGGGTCGGACTGGGCAGTCTAAAAATTGTCTGGACTTTGGCAGACTCGACACAACTCCCAGCTCGACTCTGACTCGTACTATGACTCGACTCGACTTGACTCGTGACCCGCAATGTACCTATCCTGGCAAGAGACACCCCAAATCTTTTGCTGACAGTGAGGAGACCAAGGAATACTTAATCTCTCATCGAGACGAAGTTGTTAAAGCCAGACAATTATACGCAAGTGGAATCATGAATTCCAATCCATCGCGAGTGGTTTAGGCAGTTGTGGTTAACAAAGGTATCTGTGGTTAAAAATTAGATCCAACTTTCACTCGCTGTGAGCCACACGTGTTCAACGTGACTCAGAAGTCGGGTGTTATGGGTCTCGGCGGGCAGCAACAGCACGAATCGGTTGAACTGGCTTTCAGAGGTGGAACCAGGGCTTGCCCTTGGTTGTGGCTACGGAGAGGGATGGCAATGCAAGCATAAGCAGCCTAGCAAGTGTCTACTCTTGCTTTGGTCATCCGGCATCTCTTTTTCTAAAAGTTTACTTGATCATGGCTTTCAGCCATGCATCAGGACACGGTAAGGCACTCACAATGCATGCAGTGTGTAACACAAATGAGACACAGACAGCGGGCCATTTGAGCCCATGGAGAGAACTTGCACTGGCCATGGGTAGGACGTATTCAGAATACCAAGGGCCAAACTTGAACTTCTCGTCTCAACCTTCTTCAGCCCGACAACTATCCTGAGTTGGGTCTGAGATGTCTTTTGCATGGACTCGGTCACATTGGGTGAACAAAAATATCCACCACAACTCAGTTATCCATGATAACCTGAAATAGCCTCATAGGATACGTAGACCATGCTTTTTCCATCTCCCTCTTTGATTGTCTCCTACCTTCTACCATTTTTCACATTCATTCCTTCGTGTTTTCAACTTTGTACACGCGAAACCTCTTGCATGTATGCACCATTACAAATCGTGTTAGGGATGTTTTCCCTGTGGCTATTCCGTCTATTATCTGTCAGTTCCGCCCATTGCAGTGATGTCAGCGCGAACAACCTCACTGGCCAACTCCCTCCAACAATGGGCAATGTATCTTATCCTTATAATTTGTAAGGCAGTTTAGCGTGTTGAAGTGTTGCAATATCTACCATAGCAACCTTAAAGCGTTTCACAAATAGAAGGTATACAAGGTACCAAGGTGTGGATTGCAGCCACAGGTAGAAATTAACTTTGATTGGCCCAGCCCAAACCTCCGACAAAATACGAACGTATGGTTCATCAGTATTTTCAGCCTGTAAAGAACCTTGGCTTAGTAGAGTATTGCAATTTTCTACCACACATCTCCAACAGCAACCTCAAAGCGTTTCACTTGAAGCTGACACCTGTTTCAGATTCTTAGTCTGAGAACGCTCCATGTGCACATGCAGGAACATATCTTCGACTGCAATCAAATGCCCTCCTAGCTACAGCAGCTGCGTGGTCCCACAGATCCCTTCAAGTTCTTTCTGCAAGCAGTGTCGCTCCTTCTGCTCCACATGTGACAAGGCAGGACCAGGTGGGACGCTCCTTATCCAGGTGGCCACTATTTGTACTGCCTATTATTCATTCTCTCACTTGTTTTGAGTGGAGGAACGCTGATTACCACCTACATAACAAGGTTTCCAGTGTCACGCATGCACAGCTTAGCTGCTCCGAATATGCACAGTGCACTGTTGCGTTCCTGTTGTACGCCTCCCCATAGCTTTTACTGAAGAATTCCTGTTTCAACCTTTCAATGCTCTGCTTCATTCCCTCTCCCTGATCCCACATCCCCTTTCACCAGGCCCTTCATCATTCCCCTGCCTGATTTCCTTTTCCTTCCTATCTCTGTCTTCCTACCCCATACTTGTACCCTGCTGATCACCAGCACCACCACCATCCCCATCGCCAGCTCCTGCTCCCTCCCCATCGCCAATGCCAGCACCCCCTCCACCCCCTCCCACTGCAACTCCTAGTGCGCCCTCCGCCTCTCCCTCCAGCAAAGCGGTGGTTTATCGTGCAAAGCCATGGCTGGCATTGCTGCTGCTGGCGCTGTGGCTGTCCTTGTGATGCTGCTGCTGCTGCTGCTGCTGATGAGCTGGCTGCTGTGCCAACGATGCCGGACCAAAGCGGCAGCAGGAGGGAATGCTGGCACTGATGGCGATGGCATTTTAGAGTGGGCTTAAACGCGCTGTGTTACTTACGGTACCATGGTGTTATCTTATCATTTCGCCTTAGAGCAAGTTACAATTGAGGTTTCAGTTTAGGTTCATTTAATAGGTCTTACCTTAGTTGAACACACCCTGTTTGTCAGAGAAAGTGGGGTTAGTTTTGTCACGCGTTGGGGCCAGCCCGGTCCAGTTCAGACCAGGCCCGGTACCAACAACATAAACTGGTTGTGTAACACTAGTGTGCATTTCTGGGGACCAGGCCCGATTACATTGTGGTATGTAAAGTGCGTAGTATTGTAACAAGTGCATGCACCCTAAGCATGGCCGTATCGTATTGCCCAGTCATAGTTACTTAAAAGATGAGCGGCACTGGGTCTGGCAGCATGAACAGGAAAGTCACTGTTGGGTGGCATTTAGGTGGCCATAACCCAAGGCGGAACTGATGTCTCACATGTTGTGTTTTCGGGTCGCAGTTTTCTGTACACATCGTGCAACTTTCCCGCAGCTTTTCAGCAGAAAACACTTCGCTCGGACCCCTGATGTGGCTGTCAGCGTTTTCCACAATGCCGTTGTCATCGTGGTGCGTAAGCCTCGATGAACCGTAGCTGGACTACATCCTACTACCACCATCAAAACTTCAGAGGACATACAAGAAAAATACAAGAGAATGCTGGTGAGGATGGGGGACATTGAACGACAAGTATTCTCAACAGTGACCAACCTTGGGATGTGCAACGAATGGGACACAGTGACAGGAGGAACTACGGCATTCTGCACCGTCCGTTGCCTTCCAGGAAACTCAAGCTGGCTGGTAGTCCTTTTTGCTTGTGCAGCTGTGCGCAAGTAGTAGCAACAATGATCTATCACCAAGGGCCAACTCGCTGGTGAAATCCACAAGGAAGAGGGCAGGCCACTTCAGCAAGCGCTGGGCGATGGCGCTGCTCCCAGGCAAACACCAAGGCTCGGGCCGGTCAATGCTAGCATACTTGCATTGATATCTTGGTAATACTGCGGCAGGAAGGAAGAGCAGACATTAACTAGGTACATATTTGATGATGGATCTGTTCACTAAACGGGCCTTTTATCGAGTCTTCACTTCACCCCATTCAACTAAGTGGTACTTCTACTATAGCGTCACACAAATAGTTTCAAGACTTTCAAGGTCCTATTGGTTACATTCACAAACAGACTCTTAGCTACAGTAATACTTCTCTATACAGCTACTACGATAAATAGAACTACAGAATTGCTCAAGTCCAATTTGTTTCAACAAATAGGAAGATTAAACGACAATGGTGTTGTTGATGGAGTATGCTTTCATGTGGTTTTAATGGAGACTTACCTAAACTACACAAAATGGTAAATCTATTGCTAGACCCTTCATTGTGCAAGCACAAATGAAATTTAGACACAAAGTTCCTTCCTGCACATTTGTCAACTAGCTGCAACAGCAAGCGCGGCGAGCAATAACAATAAGATCACAAGTATCAATAGCAGACAATTCTGTAACTTGAGTCATCTCGAGGAGAGGAGGAGGACAGCAACCGAGGCCTCCTGCTGGAGGGGATATGGGTGGGGCAGGTTGTTCTGACAAAAAGAATGTGCGTATGAGAGGGGAGAACGGAAGGCGAGATGGGAAGAGGTGAGAACCCAGCATTGAATGTGGATGCCTGGGGATGAGAGAGAGAGAGAGAGGTGGGAAGAGGATGAGATGGAGAGGAGCATGTGGGATGGGATGGAGATGTAGGATGCCTGGACCAAAGAGAGAGAGGGAGGGATGGAGGGAGGGAAGAAAGGAAGGATGGGGGGAAGGTGTGGGAGAGGGAGAGAGAGACAGATGGAGGGATGGAGGGATGGACGGACGGATGGGGAGAGGGGGAGAGGGAGGGAAAGGGAATAACATGTAGACACGAGGTGGTGTGGAGACACGAGGGATAGAGGGGAGCAAGAGGATGGGGGTTTGATGGGGGCTGTGGTCGACTAAAAAACAGGATTGATGGCAGGGGACTGCAGAAAGAAGGAACGGGGCGGATAACAAGAGAGATGAGAACGGGCATCAGGGACGGGTTAAAAAGGGCAAGCACATATTAGAGGAAACGGGGTGGCAAGAAACCATTCCCCTGCACACCAGGAAAAAAGGGAGGCAGGAGGTGAGACGGAGGGCAGTAAGCGAGGATAGGGATTGATTTGCCATCGTCGTGTGTGCAATGCAATCCCATGCTCATCAGCAGTAATAGCAGCAGCAGCAGCAGCAGCAGCAGCAGCAGCAGCAGCAGCAGCAGCAGCAGCAGCAGCAGCTGCTGCCATGCTTGCTCGGTTTTCCGTTCCTGCTGCTGCCTATGAGCGCCACTGACATGGCCGCACACGTGTAGGGGAAGAAGCAAAGGGCAAAGAGCAAAGAGAGAAGAAGCGTAGGGAAAATGCGAGAAAAGGAGAGGAACACTGGGGGCAGGTGCAGAGACAGATGCAAGGGGCGCATGTTCCTGCTGTGTATGAGCCATAAGGGCCCCTGGCATGGGTGCACACGTCTAGGATGTTCATTTGGACGGAAAGGGGGAAGAGTTGGGTGGAGCGGTAGGGGAGGCGGGGACGGGGGGAGAGGAAGAGAAGGGAAAGGTATCGGAATCACTGAAATAGGCGTCATTAGGAGAGGGGGGGGAGAGAGGGAGAGGCGGAAGGGAGGCAAACCGAGCGGCGGGGAGAAAGCGGGATGGACATACAGACACAAGGGGCACATCTTATTGGGAACATGGTGGAGAGCGTGAGGGAAGTGGTTTTTGTTTTGTTATGTTTTGTCTTGTTTTGTTTTTTTTGGCTTTGTTTTCAAATACAGTCCACGTCACTTAAAATTCACTCGTACGGCCTTAGGTCGTCGCACCGTTGAGAAACTGCCAACGAGTGAGCGTGGACAGCAAGGGGGAGAGAGGTGGGGAGAGAGCGGAGGAAAGGGGGGGGGGAATAGGTGAGGAGTGGGGCGAAGGAGGAGAGCACGGAAAGGGAGGCCACGAAAGGGGAGACCACAAAGGGGAAGGGGGGGAGAAGGGGGATAAGGGGCGACTTTGGCACCCTAGGAGGACGAAAGTGGGCGATCATGATCACAAAACAGAGCCAAGTCAGAATAATAAAGTGAGAAAAAAACGCTGAGAAACAAGTGACTGAAATGTGGGTGACCCTCCCTCCTTGTACCTTGTCCTCAACTCACTCACTCTGCTAGGGGGTCCAGCTTTCGTGCATGCACCCACCAGAGAGAATGGGTGCAGGAAGGGAGGTAGAGAGGAGAGGAGAGAGTCAATGCAAGCACAATGCAAGCCATCAGCATGCTGGACAAGCATCACCATTCAGCTCACAACCATTAGCATACTGCAGCTCTGCACCCTCCCTTCCCCCCTCCTTTGCTCTCTCTTCTCCACTTCTCTTCTCCCCCATTCACCTCTTCTCACCAGAAATCAGCAAACAGAGCAGCGCAATCTGTATTACCCATCTGCCTCGACCGCCTCTCCCAGCATCTCCTCCTTGTGTCTCACTCTTTCTCTCCAGCACCATCGATACACCTCTGACTGTCACTGCGCACTCAAGCAATCCCCTCTCTCTCCCCACCCCAACCCACTTCCCACCCTCCCCTCCCTCCACTCCGCAAGTCCCACCACCTGCAACCCAGCCTCTCTTCCTCCCCCTCGGCAATCAATCTCTCCTCCAGCCCCTTGTATCCCTCTCCTTCCGCCCCCCTACCCTCACCATTTCCCCCACCCTCCCCCAACCCAAGTCCCCCCAGGCAGGCTCAGCTCCACGACCTCCTTGCTGCAGCATGGCCGGCCTATCCTCTCCCCACCTTAGTCGCCCTGCTCTCATCTGCATCCACCATCCACCATCCACCATCCACCGTCCACCGTCCACCGTCCACCGTCCACCGTCCACCGTCCACCATCCACCATCCACCATCCACCATCCACCATCCACCAGCACGCGATTGCCCACCTGGACTGCACCGCCTCCCCAACCTTCTCTTGCCTGGTGGTGGGTGGTGCGAGGGTGAAGCATGGAGACAGACATGGGAGAATGAGAAGTGATGACGATGGAAGGGTGCACGTGGTGCCGCTGAAGGTCAATGCACCACACCCGATGCATGCTTTACCTTCGTGCCAAACTCCCATCTCCCGTCCCCGGCCCTTTTCCTCTCCCACCACCCACCCTCCCCTCCTTTCCGCTCTCCCACTGCCCCTCCCCTTTCCCCACCGTTTCCGCTCTTCCACCTTCCCTCCCTCCTTTCTGCTCTTCCCCATCCCACCTCATGAACAGCCAGTGACAGCCAGCCAGCAGCAGCGCATCTGCCTCTGCCAGCTAACTCCCCGCGCCCTCCTACTTCTCAGACGCCCCATCTAACCCTACCAACCGGAAAACCATAACCCCTCTCCCAGCTCCTGGCTCTCCTCCCCCTCTCACTCACCCCCTCCTCGTCCCCCTCCTTTCCTGTCCTTCTTGACCTCCCTAATCGTCCCTCTCCTCTCGTCCTCTCCCCCCTCCTCTTCCACTTCACCTCTCCCTCTCTTCTCCCCCCCATCCTTGTTCCCCCTACTCGTCAACCCTCTTCTCCCCCCCTCCTTTTCCCCCCTCACCTACTCCCCCGCTCCTCTCCCCCACTCATCTCCCACACCCCTCTCCCCCTTCGTCCCATGCTCTCCCCCCCACCCACAAAAACAACACATTCAAATGTCTGCATACCTCAGCACTCCACTGCCACTTGCCACACCGCGCCAGTTAAAAGGTCATGTAGGAACGGAGGTACCAACCAAGGAAGGATTGAGAGAAGACATGCACTGAATGGATGGAAGGTGGTGGGGAAGAAGCACGGGGTGGAGGGGCGGAACTTGGAAGGGTTGGAGGAAGCGAGAAAGAGTGTAGCACAAGTCAGGGGGATGAATCAAGACACAGATAGAGTGAAACAGAGGAGGGTGGGGGAAAGGCGAGTGGAAGGGAAGGGGAGAAGGGGGACGGAGAAATGGCTTTTTTAGATGTACGCAAGGGCTTTCATAAATGCAATGTAAGGGCTAAGGAGAGTTGCAACAATGGGTTTGCATGACGATGCGAATCAGAATAACGGGGGGAAGGGGTGTGAGAAGGTGAGGAGGCTTCTTCAGCTATGCAGCACCCAGCCATACAGCACCCAGCCATGCAGCACCCAGCCATGCAGCACCCAGCCATACATCACCCAGCCATACATCACCTCAGCAGGACGCACCTGCTCGGCTGAGTGCTGGTGGCAAAGGCTACCGCCGTCTGGTCGGCGGGAAAGACGATGAAATGGCTGCCTGGACCCACTGTCTGCACGTTGACTTTTGAGTCGACTCAAAAGTCAACTGGCTGCCTGGACCCACTGTCTGCACGTTGACTTTTGAGTCGACTCAAAACAACTGGCTGCCTGGACCCACTTTCTGCACGTTGACTTTTGAGTCGACTCAAAAGTCAACTGGCTGCCTGGACCCACTGTCTGCACGTGCAGCGCCCAATTCTCCTGCATATCGCCGCAGCCTGTGATAGGATGGTGGTATGAGGAGGGAAGGGAGTGGGGGAAATGAGGAGGGGGGTAGCGGGTGGATTGGCTGTCCCCCTTCAATACACGCTGTGGCACGACTTTCACGCCGCTCGCGGAGCAGCAATAGTAGCATCTCGTGACAGAAACGTTCGACTCTCTGTCGCCGGTAGGAAGCATATAGGATGACGGCCAGCACTAAAATGATATTACTGAGTCAGCTCATACGGAAACTAGACACGTCTGGGCGAAAGTGACGTTCATTATATGAGCCTTCCATCAAGATTACATTACATGGTAGTTAGGGAAGATGGGCGGAATGATGGCCGTTGATAACCCATTTGTCCGGGAGAAAGAAATCGACAGGAGGCTGCGGGACAGAAGGCAAGAGAAAACCGTTCCGCCGTTTCTCTCTATATCGTCTCCTGCTGTCAACTGCGCATTCGTCGCGACGGTGGCGGCGGCGTCGCACAGACGGGATCGCTCGAGTAGGGATGAGATGGTGAGCGTCACACGTTAGTGCCATCTCGCCGTATTTTCTAGTCAACTCAAAATTGCATGAAGAAACGCTGCACACTTTACTCGCGATAAGCTAGGTCGCGGGCTGAGCGGCTAGCTCGCTATGTCGTCAAGGTCGCCATGTCTCTGGGATGCTGATTCCATGAGTGGCAATTTCAAATATGTCAGTACCTCTTCGTGTGCTGAAAGCATTATTTATATTTTTCTGTAGTGGTTGTTCCAGTTCCGTTATCGCGATAGCGAATGAAGGGTTCGCGTTCCTCAACAGGTTCAGCCGCTGCCCTGATTCGTCGGGCTAGCAGACCTGGCGAGATTTTTGGAACAACGAAATGTGAATGTATCGCTGACATGCCACGCCACCATCAAAACCCACGTCACCTTGAGATTCGGGACAGCAGGGTAACTCGACGATACCTTTCGCATTTCTCGACCACAAGTGGTATGTAGCAGTCATTGAGAAGATTGCGAAGCAATCTTGGCAACAAACCGTCCCTTATCTGTTTCTCTGAACTCTGAAACTACCTCTCTGCCATCGTCTTAGGGCGTGTCTCCATTTTGACCCCGACGGTTCGAACCGTGGACGGTCCGAGATGCCAAAAGGTAACCAGCGTCGCACGATATTTCGTGGAAGTTTGTGCGACGTCGCCAACAATCCGAACCGTCGCGTCACTTTTTACACATTCAACGGTTCAGAATCTGAACCCTTGACAGTTCAGAAACCAAACGGACGGTGCAACAGTACTAACTAGAGATTGGCGCGCGACTTTTTGGAAAATATGAAAATAAGATTGGCTGACGAAACTTGCAGAACAGCTGTCGTGAATTGTGTAACGACGCTACGGAGCTGGTCGACGTGGTGGTTGCCCGGCCGACCGGGTTACCCGGAAGACGGGGTTTCTGCGGAGGCACGCAACGGTTGCCCAGGTGTTCGTGGCGAGGCCGACCTCGGTGAAGTATCCCGAGGTTGATGTGGCTGATCAGGTCTAGTCGTCAGCACGATAACGATCTGGTTTGTGCGCTGTGCAGGTGATAAGGCACAACACGCCAATCATCTGCGAGCACCTGCGAAACGGGTGCGCTGCTGTCCTGCGGGTGCAACGCTGTGCAGCTGACTTGCTTCAGCGTTGGCACGCCGTCGACTTGCATTGTTGGCGAGCCGCAATTTTGACCAATTCGTGCTGGAACGCGGTCGACCATGCTGCGCTGGCAGTCGTCCTGCTTGCTTGTTAGCTCTGATGTAGTCAGTCTTGCCAACTTTGTTGCAATGATTTTGAACCATTGTTGCCATATCTCTTAGTGAAACTTTTGCAAATTCTCCCCGTGAACTAGCAAGTAGTGAGCATACAAAAAAACGACTAAGGAACGAACGCAGAGATCACTCCTACCCCGTGCCTAGCCCGTAGTCTAGCCTCCCGTTGATTGAGGTATCTCCGCATCGAGCCCATGAGTCGGTACGTCTATGGGTAGGGTGAGCAGACGAAAATGTAGAAGGGGCGATACTCATTGAATTGGAGAGATTGAAAGTGGGAAAACATTGAGCAGGAGGAGGAAATATTGGGAGGAAGGGATTCTAAACCAAGCGAATGCCTTACAGGCCGTAAAGAGTTGTAAGACTGCTGAATGTTGGAGGTATTGAACCCATGAGCTTGTTATCAGACAGAACTCTGGGAAGTTTCGATCACAGCATCCGATGAAAAGAAAGAAAATATTAACTCTTTCAACTGAACAAGTTGATGTAACATCTAAATCTTCATGAAATTCACGTCACGTGAATGCAAAATATCAGGTGTCAAGGCAAAGTAACTAGAACGGGCGTTTCACCTTTTCTATGATGAGCCATTTGCACAATGAAGAGCAAGCATAATAAGGTAAGGCGGGAACAAGGAAAGGGGATGGACATCACCAGAAATAGTCATGATTTTAAGGGAACAAGACAGGGGGGAATGCAGAAGGGAAACAAGAGATGGGGGGAGACACGTAGGGAGTACCATAAGTACCAAGATTGTACAAAATGAACAATACAAGGGGGAGCACAATACGAGGGAAGACAAGGTAACAAGTCAAGGGAAAGATGTGAAGAAAACAAGGAAGAAGAGGAGGGAAGACAAGGAATCACGGGCATTGACAAGCGGTCATGAATAGATAAGCGAGGCGAAGACCGGTACGTCACCATCACAAGGGAACAGGATTCGGTGAAGCAGGGCAGAGGTAATCAAAGGGGGGTCTTAAATGTGGGAAACGAAGGGGGGTGGGGGGATGAATAGGGAAGGGGGGGAGGTGGGGGGGGAAGAAATCACCAGAGACTGAGAGGGAGAGGACAGAAAGATAATGGACCCAAAGGGAGTCACTGAATAAGACGACAGGTGACAGAAAGGGGGTTCAGACGATGGGTATATGTAGTCAAGCATGCATTCATCTTACATGTAAGTCAGGCCTCTAAGCAGGCCAATAGTATCGGGTATTGAGCCGCTAAACTGATTCCCAGACCAATATCTGTTATGATGATATGCGATGCATTCAGTGTATGTGTACAACCAGATAAGGGTCAGCAATGAGGGGAGAACCAATGAGCAAAGACGAGACAGAGGGGGGACGAAAAACACATGGATACAAATGAGAGGTGAGGGCAGAAGAATACAAAGATGGAAGGAGGAGAGTCGATATCAAGGTTAAAGACAAAAGCATAAGAGCACAGGAGAAGAGAGGTGGGCCATTCATTCGAAAAAAACATGGAGGCATGAGGGCAAGGGGTGGGAGGGTAAAGCAGCAAGAGGAAGGGATCAAGAAAAACACATGGATACAAATGAGAGGTGAGGGCAGAAGAATACAAAGATGGAAGGAGGAGAGTCGATATCAAGGTTAAAGACAAAAGCATAAGAGCACAGGAGAAGAGAGGTGGGCCATTCATTCGAAAAAAACATGGAGGCATGAGGGCAAGGGGTGGGAGGGTAAAGCAGCAAGAGGAAGGGATCAAGTGACGTTACTGGTAGAGAAGCGGGAGAAGAGGGGGCTCAAGATGGGCCGAGCTGGGCCTCCCAAAGCATAATATGCAGCATGTAGCTTTTTAACCATGCCACAGTTAAGCCACAACCAGCCCAACTTGGGCCTGACCCACTCTGTCCTTCTACTCGATGGCCCACCCCCAGCAGGTAGCCGATCTGGGCACCCAAACCATAATATGGTGCATGTAGCCGTTAAGCCATGCCAGAGTTAAGCCACAACCAGCCCAACTTGGGCCTGACCC